GAGTGTATGGTGTGTTGCTTTTAAATCTGTTTTCTCTTTCCCTATTTTTAACTTTTTATCTTTTTAGTCTTGTATGTTGTAAGCCGCCCGGAGTCCTACGGGATTGGGCGGCATATAAATTTATTAAATTACAATTAATTACAATTACAATTAGGACTCATTGAAGAGTATTTTCAAATGAGCTGATCAACTGTGAAACCTATAGAATTGTCATCAATCCTACATTTAGTTACGAATGATAATCAAAATATTATGAAAAACTTTGTCAAATATTTGCCAATAACATTAATATAATTTATTAAGGAAATTAAAACCTTTTAAAGAATACAGTATGATACAAAGGCATAATGTACTGTTCAGAAATCCATTCTAATTTTTTGTAATCACATTGTTTTCAAAGTGCTTACAGATTCTTCTTTGAAGGTATGCTGTGGAGATTTAAATTCATCCACAGTAAGTATGTATCCTTTACCAATTAATTTCAAACCTCATCCCTGCCTCTTGCTCTTTCCAACTGAAGATATAAACACACTTCTCAAAAAATATTAAGTTAAAATCATGTTTGAGTATTTGTTCCCACTAGCATTTTTCTTCACCTGAATATGCAAATTTTGATATTTTTCCCTTCTACTTCAAACACGTTTCATGCAGCCTTTTTTACTGTTCTTAATATCCTCAGCTTTAGCATGGGGTTTAGGTTCTTCTAATACCATCTATACAATTATTTGGTATGTGTTTATAATCTTAATGGTGTCCCAACTCCCTTTACAATTCCCATATCTGCCTTCTTTTGCCTTTTATGCAGTCAAACTTTTTGTTTAGTTCATTATTTTCTTATTTCTTTTCATCACAAGAATGTAGAGAAATTCGGATTCTATGTACAGGACATAAACATTTGCAAACAAAAACACTCAATTAAAACTAACAAATATATAGCCAAGTAAACTACAACATAATATAACCTGTCCTTTGTGCTGACTATATGACCTATGATTATTGTGACATCTATGAAAATAATTGTGTTCACATTACCAGTTGCTATTTTTAGCTGTAAACATTTCTAATGACTTTTTCACCCAGATCTACGTTGATGTACCATTCCCTAGGAAGATACATCAATAAAGCAGGATGAGAACTAAACTGGTTGGCAAAAATAATGTTATCTTAATGCACCAAACCATGGTTAAATGTCAGTATTATGTATGAAGGTTCAATTATCAAGAACAAGGTGGGTAGGCAGGCAGGCAGGCAGAGTATTGAATGTATTACATACCTGTCAAAAGAGTGAAACTGCATTGGAAGAATAGGCTGAGCTTCTCTTTTCAGTGCAGGATCAGGATAAGGAATCGGATCCGGCCCACATTCTGGAATTTCAACTGGTGCTGCTACCAGACTTTTCAATATTTCTTTAACATTAATACCTTTGCTTTGGCTAATACTTGATATTGAAGAGGCAGGCTTAAGAATTTCACTGGGACTTTCTGTTAAACTTTCTTGAGATTTCTTCACCTCAGATGACAAAGTAGATAGTAATTCACTCATAGCATCTGGACCAGGGCTTGTTTCTAAATCTGTCCCATTTAAAATACTGGGTATTTGTTCCTCTTCAATTCCAGAATCAGTGTGAGGAATAGAGCTTTCCAATGGAATATCTTCAATTGGTGTTGGAGTTTCTTTTTCTTTGATATTGTCTGGAAATACAGCAGGAGTTTCTATAAGAGAAAAAGTAGAGAAATATTCAAGTCTGTAAATTAGTAGTTATGCTCTCAAAAATTAATAGAAATGTCAACACAAAATGTAGATGGAAAACCCTCTAAAATGCATGAGAAACACTTAGAAATACATTGTTATTCTGGAATTTCACAGCAGCCATGACACAAACATTTACCAGTTCTATGCTGCAAGCCTTCAATGCGAAATCATAAAAATAATGCTTCAAAATGCTTGCTTAGTACTATCAAATTTACCAAAACTAAATAACATAGCAGAAAATAACAAATTATTTTGTCGATATTTGTTTGTTTGCTTAGATTCTGCTTTCCTCAAAATGTCCAAGGCCACACAAACAACGTTCTACCATCATTTCCTCCGCCCCCATATAGGTAATAGTGAAGTAGGTTGCTTGGCTGAGGATTGCTATAAACCTAAGTCTTCGGGTCCTAGCGAAGTACCTACTTAACATTCTGTTTCTATTCAATAAGTCACTTAGTAGCAAACATGCAAAAAATAACAAGACAGTTGACTTGCTAGTTTCCTATATTGTTTAATAGGACCTGCCCAAATACAAGATGTTTCACCACCAACTTTGACAATGACAGAGAAGGCAGCAGATGACCCAACCTGAATTTGAAAGACATAGGTGTGCTGCCTGTGTCAAATTTGACAAGAAATTTGCATCCATGTCTCAAGTTCTCTACATATTTTGGAATTTCTAGTTACTTCCTTAGTACCTTTTTTAATATGGGAAATCGTCAGATTCTAGTTAAGGTACCCAGTTCATTCTGTATCATTCCAATATTCAGAACTACACTTTGAATGCAATACACCTATTAACAGAAATCAGACAGAATGCAGAATACAGAATACACATATTTCTTTTTGTAATTTAAAATGGAGCACATGCTTTAGTATAGCTACTAACAACACTTCAATTGCCATGGAGGTTGTATTAGACTTCTCGTAATCAATTTTAGATTTCTCGAGACAGTGCTGTTGTTGTTCCTATCTCTGAAATTAATTTTAAACAGGAAAATTATTTTTTTAATTAAAATTTTATATACTGATAATTGATTTGTTTTTGGGTTTCAAAAAAATTCTGGGCATTCATATTAAATTTAACAAAGAAATGCAAAATATACATTTAATTAATGCATATGAGCTGCAGGATGAAGAAAGATCTTTCTTGAGCATAATATTACTACTGTTTATAAAAAAATTTCTGGCAAACATTTGCCTTATAAAAATGTCTTGGCATACTCTGATGTATTTAAATCATCCCATTTTATATTCAACTATTTTATATATTATTTTAATAATGTTTTGTTCATTTTAAAATTGAAGGGTAGGGTTAGAAGTGACCTTGGGGTCTTCTAGTTCAATCCCCTACCAAGAACAATCTGTCATTGAAAACATCAAGTGGTAAAACACTTAGAACTCAAAGAGGCAGTCTGTTCCATGGCTCTCATTGTCAGAAAATTCTTAGTTTGCATATCTCTATGTAAAGTTTCCAGTGGTATGTGTCATACCCACCAAGGTTATAAAAACTAAATCCACACCCTCTTCCTTTAGACATCCTTTAGAAATGGATGACATGCAGAAGATGATATCAAGGCTTCCCTTAGCCTTCTCTTATTTAGGCTAAACATTCAAAATTCTTATTTCCAATTTCTTATAGAAATAAGAGCACAGTAGATTACTGTATGACTTAAGCCAGAATTTAGTCTTCTATATACAATATTTCTTTTCTCAAAAACAATTAAGCCTTAAATTTCTTAAGGTTGTTTTTAATATCTATTTACAAATAGTTTTCATAAATCTTAGGAACTGTATCAAACTGTAAACTTTTTTTGTTAATTTCAACTTCTGAAAAACTATATAAAAACATGATTTTTATAAAAGATAGTTTTTCTCCTACTTACAGAATTGATAATAGTTTAAAATGTGGACATGGTTTTTAACCTGAATTTCTTTTGCTAATAACATTTTCTTAATGATAGGATTTGTAGAATAAAACTCAATATCACACACGGCAGTTTTGACATTAATGGCTGTGTGTTGTGTTATTTTGAGGGGACAGCACATTTACACTGTTAAACAAGCTGTTATACTCACTACATTGTAGCCAAGTGTCATTTCTTCAGTGTTGTCACATGAAAAGATATATTTAAATATTTACAAAATGTGTATTCACTTCTGTGCTATACTGTATAAGCCCATCTGTATAATTTTGGAGTAAATTCTCAACTTATTCCCATGTATATACAGTACTTACCTGTAACTGGAATCATCTGCAAATTCACACATATAGGTTATCCTCTAGAACAGTGATAGCTAACCTTTTCTGGACCAAGTGCCCAAAGTGTATACACGTGCCCAAATCCCCAAAATGCAATGTAAGTACCCCCCTGCCCACACCACCCAGATGTTCCCCCGCATGCGCGGCAGAGACCCAAAGACCAGCTGGCCGGCGGGAGGCACACACACATGCATGGCAGAGCTGAACTGGGATGATGGCTTGCGTGCCATCACAGAGGGCACTGCATGCCACCTCTGGCATGCATGCCATAGGTTCGCCATCACACCTCTAGAAGTTATATGTTTCTTGACAAGAGACTCCTTTTTAATGCATTTTACTTATTATATTTACATGGCACCCATCTCACAAGACTATGACTCTGGGCAGCATACAAGAGTGAATTACAAAGAAAACCAAGTATATATAACAGTCATCATGAAAAAACTATTAAAAATCAGAGAGGACCCAAGCAATATCTTGGATACATGGAAAGATTACTTAATGAAGCTATCACATTTAAAAAGGGTGCTTCCGGGGGTCAGCTAGGAATAATCAACCCTGTTGCTGCTGCTCGACATACAGGCTAAAGAATTACAGGAGCCTTCGAGATTACTAAAGGGGAATTCAAAATATCCATACTCTTTTCCTGCTTGGTCTTTTTCTCATAGAAAGGACCTCTTCAATATCACCACAGCCTAGATAGAAAAATCTCCTCTCTGATATGAGGTGTTAGCTTCAGCTTTGCCAATTGCACTATTTCAGCTTGAAAAACCTAAACTATGTGCTATCTGGGAAATAAGATAAAAATGAAGATAACTTTATCACACTCACAAAAAGAAAAGATGTACTTTATTATTCAGATTTGCTAGTGCCTACCCAGACTTAGATTTCCTTTACTTGTTCATGAGCAAGAAATGTTCAGTGGAAACTTAACTGATATCCCTCAACTACAATAGAATAGGGTAGAACAGAAATCAGCTGCTATCCTTCTTTACTTTATATTTTCTGCGTTGTGAGAAGCTGATAGCATGGTGCTTGGTTTACTGCTAAAGCTGTCTTCAGCAAGATGGCAAACACTGGAATGAGGGTTAGGGAATTGTTTGAGACTTGTACCAGCAGAATAACTGGATTCTACCTGGTCAGTGGTAGTTGTCTTTCAGACTCAGAGAAGGTATCAATTGAAACATTAAAACAGAACCTCTTGAAGAGTGATAGGTGCACCACAATATGTTTCATAAACTGTACTGGTTGTTGACTTGCTTTTAGGAGCAGATCAATATGCTTGTTATTACCTACAAACCCTTGTGATTATTTGAACTATTTCCAATAGTTCCTGCTCATCCAGTAAGACTGAGCAGTGTGGGTATGTTCCAGGTCCCTTCAAACAATGTAATCTATCAAGACTTAGCAGGAGACATTCTCTATCAGAAATCCTGCCCTCAGGAAGAGCATCCTCCCAGAGATCCATATGGTTTTCATACTATTCCAAAAGCAAAACCTGGCTTTGCTCCAAGTCTGGAGTTAGGGTGGTTGTTGAGCTTCTGACCTTTTTTTTCCTTATTGCATTGAGGGTTTTTTCCCTCCAGTTTACATCTGTTTTTCTTCTTACTTTTATTGTTTTATTGCTTCTTACTTTTAAAAGGTAAGTTGCACAGTTGCCTGTGAGCCAGGTAGCCTTCAAATAAATAAATAAATTCTTTTTTTAAGAGCTCTTCCTCACAGTCCCAACTGCTCAAGTTCAATACTATCAATTGTTCAGTCTTCTGTTGCAACTTTACTCTTTCCTGTCACCCAATACTATTGCATTTCCCTTCTCTTTTCTCTGTCCCTACGTGCTCTGGTAAAATTTTGTCCAGTTGCTTGAAATCTAACATTGGCTGCCAATGTTTCTTTTATCTGAAGTAATTGAGTATAAAACAGTTAACAGTGCTAAAATTTATTATCTTCTTCTCCCCATTTTTTTTATTTCTTTTTAATTCTTTCTCTGTTCTGTTCCAGTTTCCTATTCCCTCTTTTATCTACGCCCTATGAAGTTGGCTTCCCTTTGATTTTCTGACAGGAGGACAAAGTGAAAAGGTTTGCTGTCTAGTGATCATAAAGTAAAACAGATACTGTACAATCACTAAAAGCATGGCCACTGTTTCCACTCCCCACTCACAAGCAGTTTGAACCTTAAAATGTTGACAACATGGACCAAAAGTTATTTCCCTTCTTTGAGCAGCCACAGGTACTGCAGTGACACTAATCCCTTCACTTCCATTCTGTGCAAAGGTAAAATAAAATCTCGAAAAGATAAATAAAATAAATTGCTTCCACCACCACTGCTTCTATCAACATCCTTTTTTGTTTTATGCATTTATTTTATCATATGGAACAAAAACAAAGCATTTCTCTGAGATCAAGACACATTATTGCTCCTGAAAGATTTGCTTTCATGGACTATAGCATTAAAAAAAAGGAGGGGATTGGGTTCAAATTTTTTTTAAATACATTAGAGGTGAGCCAAATGAACACAGCTGGTGCTAAGGAATCAAGAGATCCAGATTTGTTTCATACTGGCACATAACCTTCAGGTGAAAAATTCAAAAAAAAATCCAATGGGATATCATTTAAATGGTGAGTAGATGGACTTAATTTCCCATTCACCTACTTTCCCAATGCACCAGCTAACCAGGGACGTGCAGTCAGGGGAAGCAG